GACTCCAAACCAAAGCCAAAGTTCTGAGGCAGCAGTGGTGATAGGGACAGGGTGTCCAGATCCGACAAAGACGAGCGAGTGGCAGTGGAATGTCAAATAGTAAGCACTTCGATAAGAAAGATAAGCCGATTATCCAATGTTACAACTGTAAGGGCCAAGGGCACTTGGCGAGGGACTGTCCGCAGAGGAACAAACTCTCAGCTATCAAGGAGAAAGATGGGGAAGAGGGTGAGACTCTTAAGCTTGGCTCCATTCTGAGCACCATGGAGGTCAAAAAGGTCGAAAGAAGAAGGGGTTGATGTTCGTGGAGGTCAACGTTGCTGGCCAAAAACTGAGTGCACTAGTGGACACTGGTGCCTCAGAATTGTTCATGTCCGAACCAGTGGCCAAGAGACTTGGCCTTCATATAGAGAAGACGAATGGTTCTATCAAAACCGTGAATGTCGAAGAAGTTCCAATTGCGGGGGTCGCAAAAGGAATTGAGCTAACCGTCGGAGGTTGGTATGAAAGAGAAACCATTAAGGTAATTCCTCTTGATGATTTCGATTTTGTTCTTGGCTTAAGTTTCTTGGACAGGATCAATGTTTTCCCGGTACCTTTACCGATTGCTTGTGCATCTTGGATCCAAAGCAACAATGCATAGTCCCAGTAAGCCGAGGGTCAGAAGTAGGGTCCAAAGTCTTGTCCACGATTCAATTCTCGAAGGCAGTGCGCAAGGAGGAACCGACCTTCCTAGCGATCTTGGTGTGTGACAAGACATCCACAACCAAGGATGTTCCCGACGTGGTGAGCCACGTTTTGGCAGAATTCAAAGATGTGATGCCTGTCGAGTTGCCCAAGAAGTTGCCTCCAAAGAGGGAGGTTGATCACAAGATTGAACTTGTGCCAAATACGAAGCCACCCGCTCGAGCCCCTTACCGAATGGCTCCGCCCGAGTTAGAAGAGATGCACAGACAGTTGAAGGATCTCCTCGATGATGGTTACATCTGACCATCAAAGTCCCCCTACGGTGCCCCGATGTTGTTTCAAAAGAAGCACGATGGTTCCTTGCGGATTTGTATCGAATACCGGGCTTTGATAAGCTCACGGTGAAGAACAAGTACCCAATTCCCCTCATTGCAGACTTGTTCGATCAGCTTGGTGGTGCAAGGTGGTTCACCAAGTTGGACTTGTGATCGGGCTATTACCAAGTAAGGATAGCCGAGGGAGATGAACCGAAGATAGCCTGCGTGACCAGGTACGGTTCGTATGAATACCTTGTGATGCCCTTTGGCCTCACGAATGCTCCAGCCACTTTCTGCACCTTGATGAACAAGGTGTTGCAGCCCTTTTTGGATCGATTCGTTGTTGTATACCTCGACGACATCGTCATCTATAGCAAGACGTTGGAGGATCATGTCGAACACTTGAAGCAAGTGTTCTTGGTGTTGCGAGACAATGAGCTCTATGTTAAGAGGATAAGTGCTCATTTGCCCAAACAGAAGTCCCTTTCCTTTGCCACATTGTTGGAGGTGGCAAGATCTGGATGGACAGGGACAAGATTCGAGCCATTGAAGAATGGAAGGTGCCAACCAAGGTGATAGAGCTGAGGTCATTCTTAGGGTTGGCCAACTATTACCGGCGTTTTGTCAAAGGATACTCTAAAATCGCCGCCCCCTTGATCGAGTTATTGAAGAAAGACATGAGGTGGGATTGGAGCCCGAAGTGTCAAAGTGCCTTTGACGAACTCAAGCTTGCTATGATAAGCGAGCCAGTCTTGGTATTGCCTGATCACACCAAGTCCTTTGAAGTATTCACCGATGCATCTGACGTTGCTATTGGTGGCGTCCTAATGCAAGAAGGACATCCGGTTGCTTATGAAAGCCGGAAGCTCAACGAGACCGAAAGGCGATACACGGTCCATCAGAAAGAGATGACGGCGGTTGTGCACTGCTTGTGCACATGGCGACATTATTTACTTGGGTCCAAGTTCATAGTGTTTACCGACAATGTTGCCAACAGTTACTTCCTAACCCAGAAGAAGTTGTCGTCGAAGCAGGCTCGATGGCAAGAGTTTCTTACCGAGTTTGATTTGTCATTCGAGCACAAATCTGGGAAAGTAAATTTCGTAGCCGATGCCTTAAGCTGAAGGTACGATATAGAGTTCGTCAGTATGCCGACAGGGCAAATGCGGGAACAGATTAAGGAGGGGTTGCCACATGATCCGATGACCACTTCGTTGATGGAGCTTGCCATTGAGGGTAACACTCAAAGTTTTGGCTCGAGAGAGGCTTATTGTATGCTCGAGGACACCGCCTCTATGTGCCGCAATTTAAAGGATTGCGAAAGGAGCTCATGAAAGAATATCACAATTCCAAGTGGGCGGGACATCCGGGGATCCACCGGACTTTGGCCTTAATAGCTGAACACTATTACTGGTCGCACATGGGCAATGATGTTGAGGCCTATGTGAAGACATGTCTTGTGTGCCAACAAGACAAGATAGAGCAGAAGAAACCAGTTGGATTGTTGCAGCCTTTGCAAATCCCTGAAAGACCATGGAAGAGTCTTTCCATGGATTTTATTATCGGTCTACCGGTTACCGATGGATTTTCTAGCATCATGGTAGTGATAGATAGATTTTCCAAGTACGTACCTTTATCCCAGCATCCAAAGTATGCCCAGCTGAGGAAGCCGCTCGTCTTTTTCTAAAGCACGTGGTGAAGTACTAGGGCGTTCCAAAGACGATCATCAGTGATCGGGACACAAGGTTCACTAGGAGGTTCTGGAAAGAGTTGTTCAAGTTGATGGGATCAAGCTTGAACTTCTCGACGAGTGTTCATCCACAGACGGATGGGCAGACCGAGAGAGTGAATGCACTCGTAGAGACTTACTTAAGGCACTATATGAGTGTTACGCAACGCGACTGGCCGAAATTGTTGGACGTAGCCAAATTTCCTACAATTTGCAAATGAGTGAAGCAACCAATCAAAGTCCATTTGAGATTATAACCGGGCAACAACCGCTCACACCAAATGTAATTGCGACTGGGTACAAGGGGCCGAATCCAACAGCATACCAATTTGCCAAGGAGTGGCAAGAACAACATGAACAAGCCCGAGCTTGTTTACACAAGGCCGGAAGCGAACCAAGAAGTGGGCGGATCGAAAGTGTCGGGACGTCAATTTTAAGGTTGGTGACCTAGTCCTTGCCAAATTAAGTGGGATCTTGCGCAACCCATATCACAAAGGGCTTGTACGAAGATACGAAGGGCCATTCAAAGTTCTAAAGCGAGTAGGCACCATGGCCTATAGATTGGAGTTGCCTCAGACCATCAAAGCTCATCCTGCGTTCCATGTGAGTTTGTTGAAGCCATACCATCAGGATGAGGAAGAACTAGATCGAGGCAAGTCACACCGAGCGCTAGTCGGGGTAAAAGTCTCTTAGGAGAAGGAAGTAGAGGCCATCCATGCGGAGAGAGCCGTTCATCGAGTGGGACATCGACCAAGGCATGAATACCTTTTCAGTGGAAGGGACTTCCAGAGAGTGAAGGAAGTTGGGAGCCTTCCAAAGACTTATGGCAATTCCGAGATAAGGTAGACCAGTTTCACTCTAGCCGCGCAACGAGGGCGTCGCTAGAACTAGTGGGGGAGAATGTCCCAGACCGCCAGCCCATGACCGAACACAATACAATCAAGGCTGCCAAGGATTATCTTTACCAAGTTTTGGGCCTTCTAGAAGATCCAAGTGAGCTGATCCAATCCACCTTGGAGACATGATAATTATTTAGCTTAGAAGATAATGATGCAAACTCATTGCCCACTTGTTGTAAATAGTGTAGAGCTCTCATCTTGGCCATTGATGTATTTTAATCCCAACCGTTCATTATAGGGGACTCCAACTATAAAAGGAGGCTCACCCCCCTTCATTTACACACCTCAAGTTGAGAAATACAAACTAGTATTCACTCTTAAATCTCTCTTCTTCCTTTAGCTCGCCTATATCTTTATTTTCCCCAATTCCTTTGGGTTAGCAACTTTCTAAGCATTCTTGCTTAGTGAAGGTTCGGGTCACTTAGCCGATTTTCGACCAAGAAAATGTCTAAGGCCGCACGAGCTTGCTAACAGCAGTCTAGCCCCGTGACACGTGCAACTAATCATTCCTGAATCACCTTGGAATTCGACGAGATGGAGTGTTGGAGGCCTTGCCTTTCTGGGCTTGGATAAATTGGCCAGTTTAGAAAGATAATCCGACGGATGAGGAACATATTTCCAAGGTTGAATGGCGCACTTTGAATCTGTGAACTCTAGAACTCAGTGAAATTCTGAGTACGATGCCACCCGAGGCTTGTGATTCTGGAACTGCCGTTGCTTTCGGTTTACGTCCTCGGGGAAGGTGCCGTGGGGATTCATTTTGTCCCCATGAAAATATTGACAGTAGCCGAATGTTTTTAGTTTGGTACTGTTTCCGGGCGTATCAGTTGGTAGATAAGAAATGGTTGCACGTCCAGTGGTTATCTGACTTTCCATTACCAGCTGAAAACTTTGATATTATTAAGCTGATTCATTTGGGCAATGGCCGAATGTTTTAGTTTGGTACTGTTTTTCGAACTTTTGCTACATAAAATTCAGTGTGCGCTTCAAATTGGGGAGATTTATGCAACTGCGGAGACTAAATCTACCATCAGTGTTCCGTTTGAATGCAACATAAAATTCTAAGTTTATGTTGCTGTAAATGAAGTATTCTTAAACTCGAATCGAACGATGATATAAAAATATTATACTTGAATTAAATTTGAATGACCAAAAACTTGGTTCCTAGTGTCACTATTAAGACTAGATTAACTTTTGTGAGGAACAAAGAATATCATGGTGTTTTTTCTTAAACTTTTGATATTCGATAATCACATTAGGTCATGATTGTATCCAGAATTAGTCTAGTAATCATTTTTGAAGTATCCAAACGAAGAAAAATTAATAGAAACTATATATTATAATCATGGTATAAATATCATATAGATCAAACATAACAACCCTTTAGTCCATTAAAACATACTATATGGAATCCAATCCCCTACAGAAAGAAAGCAAATTTTGGTGGAAAAATAAGTGCACGGAGACTTTAGCAACATTTATTACAGACGACACCCAGGAAAACACGTCTTCCATATCATCACCCCTCAGTCACGCATACTGGCAATTTCCATAGCCTGCAAGAACAAACAATTATGAACAACGTCATGAAACAGCAAAATTTAAAAACAAAACATGTTTTCTTTTTTACAGGATTAGGGTTTAACGAGCAATTTACTTGGATTGGATACAGTGATGAGACCGGAGTTAGTGAAGTGACATGCATGTTCCTGACCACCATTGTCTTGGTAGTAAGAATTCATGACGACCGAGGCATGGTTGATGAGAGTTTCGGGATCGTAGCATGCTCCACCTATGTAGGACAGAAGTATGATTTTATGTTAAGGATATATAGAAAGATTATCAATACAAAATATAAAAAATATCTAAATTATATGATAATTTAAAATTTTTAAAGCTACGATCCGGGTCCTCCTTGATTAATCCCTGCTGACCTGGCTGTATCTGGGTGCAGTTTAATCCCCGGGTTCCAAGATAATTACAGGCTGACTCTATGTTGGAAACCAGTGCTGCATCGTCGGTGGATGGCTTTGCAACACACCATGTTTTGCTCTGTTTACATAAGAAATTCGTGAGAAAATATGGGATTTTTAGGGGAAAAAAGGGAAAACATTGATTTTTCACCTGCCCCTTGGCCAACTTCAGCAAGATCTCTGCATAAATAAATTCCTGGAGTCAAAAGCAATTTCGCCATTGCACTAACATATAGTTTTACAATTCTTGAAGGGACCTAACCACAATTTTGCCATTCATGCTTCAATATCAAACCCAAAAGCAAAAGGAAAATGGAGAAAGGTACGTACCAGAGTCAAATGACAAAAGGAGCAGAAGATAGAAGAAAACTGGGGGAGAGACAGTTGATTTAGCCATTGCTCTTTGTGTAGGAATAAAGAAACTAATTAAAAATTTAGAAGAAATATGACTTGGGTAAAATGAAATGAAGATGGTTCAGTATATATATAGGGTGGATAATACTAATTCCAGTCCGTAAATTTCTGCTTCCTATGGTATTTTTCTCATAGGTGAAAATTGAAATACTAAACATTTTGACACATAAAAGAGCATTAAATGGACATTTTGACACATAACAACATTGTGATTTTTTTTAAATGACTTATAATTTACCGGTCTATTTTAAGTAATGATCGTTGAAAATATGTTTTTATCTTATAATTAATTTTAAGGTAGTTGCTGGCCATTGTCATTAGGTAACAATTTTTTTAAAGTCATTGAGCAGTCTCAACTCTCAATGTAGAAAGAAGTGATAGTTAGGTGATCAACTGAAATTAAAGTGATAGTTGAGTGATTAGATATGTAGTTTACCCAATAATTTAATGTGACATGTAACTTCCACTCCAAATAAAACACTAGCTGATTCTTTTGACATATTGATGGTGATATACACCATGCAACAAGATATACCATAACTAGAAAAATTAAAAAGAAAAAAGGAACATGAAAAAAAATCCATAGCTTTCACACTACCAAATTCCAATTGTTGTTTTTTATTTACGGATTAGAACAAGAGAGAGCAATCTGTTCTCAGCAAGACATAAAGCTAGGTTGGCATAATACCACCGACCGCCAAGGGAAAACTACTTAGTTTGCCAATAAATGAAGTTCGAAGCTTCATGCTTTGAAGTTGCTGATAAATATAAGAGGATTTTAAGTTATGATTTTTGTTGATCAGATGTATATTAATATGATAATGAAAGATAATTTTGGATCTTAAAATTTTGAATATTCAAAAAATGATAATTGATAGAGATCAGAATATTAGTCTAATTAAATTCAGAACTTCTCTTTGATAGTTGGAATGTAACCCTTCGACCTAGTCTAGTAGTTATAACTGAATTAAGGTAGCCTTGTTGATCACAAAAAATGGCTTACGAATGATTTTAGTTGATAAAGCGTCTTAAAAATATTTACTGAATATAAAATAAAAAATAAACTCATGTCACAATTTAAAGAAGTTAAAAGCTAAAATTTAACCTCACACGGTACAAAATCGAGATTACTCCTCTGATAGTCAAACTGATTATATATCTGAATAATCTAAAAATAGAAACAAAAATAGAGTGAGCTACAAAATTCAGTGTGCCCTCTAAATACAAATAACAATTCAAATATTTCAAGCATTATATAAAAACAATAAAATAATCAAATAACGGTATAATCCGAATCATACAAATTTTCTCACAACTTTACCTCTTATCATAGACGAACATAATGAAAAACACTACATGCTGAGAGGAACCTGAGATCTCCAAAGTGGATCTAGAGTAGAAAACAGAAATCAAGAAAGAGACGTTACCCTTCAAAGAGGAGCCTGAGTTAACCTCCATAGAGGAACTCATCATAAATCAAAAACAAGACGGGGACGTTGCTCTCCATAAAGGATCCCATGTAGAATTAGGACGTAGATTATGCCCTTTGTAGAGGATCCCATGCAGAATCAGGACGTGGATTATACCCTCTGTAGAGGATCCCATGCAGAATCAGGATAGGTATACAATCCCAATTAGAGTCAGGACGGGGATTATGCCCTCCGTAGAGGATCTCATGCAGAAACAAGAATGCATCAATGGACATATTTAAAATGATGCAACAATAATCAGAAGTTAGTTATAACTCAAATACATATAACTAGAATACATACATGCTTAAAAATAATATCATACATCATAATAGCAACAATATTAAAGGTAACAACCAGGTCAAATGGACATACATATAATAGCTAAACAACACGGACTAAGCCTTACGCTTCTTACTATTGATCATATTAGGTCCTGAGGAATGTGGACACGTATCTCGAGATGAGTGGGTAAAATCGAGCTGAGTGGAACGAGAGTGATCAATGTCTACTAGAGAGCGATCTGGAGACACGAGAGTACCCATGCATAAAACTAACAAAGATAATAGTGGCACAAAGATGAATACGATGCCAGGATTAATCGAAATATTCATCAAACGAATGGCTCGTGAAGATAACCTTTTACCATAATTATGACCAGAATAAAGACAAGAGACTAGCAATGGAGGCAATGCAACTCGAAATGGTAACAGTGATTAGGCAGCATGAATATATTCTCTAAGGCTTCTTTTTCTCGGATTCGACAACGGTGGCCGACGAAGAAACTTCAAAGGTGGGGTTTTGTTCAGAACGATGAGGGCAACACAATGAAACCGGCGGTGCACTCCATGACGGCCTGGCGATGAAGATTTGGAAACTAAAATGGGTAAAGAAAAGGAGAGGTTCACGCGACTACTGAAAAATAATTGGAAAAAACAAATTGAAAAAGTAATTGTTATTTCAATAACCTTAGATTAGGGTTAATCAGAAGAGAATTCCCTAAACTTTTAGGGAACATAACAAACGACAAAAACTTTTAAAAGCTTAACATTTGACCCCAAAATTGGGGTATGAGAACTTTCCCTCCCTTAAGAAAATTTTGGCCTTGAAATTTTACCTGACAGAAACAGATATGACCATACGAAGCCTTGTACAGTGTCATCTGAATATTGGCGTAATAACTATTATTATAGGAACACTCAACCAACAGTAAACAATCCACCATAATATCTTAGAACCCTATAATACAATCTTTCAACCTATCCTTAAGAATTTGAATAACCTGCTCTAACAGACAATCAGACTGCGGATAATAAGTTGCACTGAAGTTTTAATCGTGTATACCTAGCGTCAAGAAGAGTCTTTTAGAATCGTGACATAAATCTCAAATCTCGATAAAAAATTATGAATAGGGGAACCTGACGAAGACTAGTAATCTCAAAAGTAAACAATCAAGTTAGTTATCATATAATTAATTTGATCTGAAATAAAAATGAATTGACTTGTTGAGATGATCAATAAAACACATATTGAATCTTACTTGGACACAATTACTCACTTTCATTATCACTCTAAAACCTATATGATTTCTAGAATACTACTCAGAATTGGCTATTTCCCTTTAAGGTAGTCTAGATAAGAGTGATACAGATGCTATATGTTGAGTTAATCGATTGACGGAATCGGCCAAGAGGGGGGTGAATTGGCAATAAAAATTTTGGTGGAAGCTTTTGCAGAAAATTGAAAGAAATTGCACAGCGATTTAGAGTGGTTCGACTTTATCAACCAAAGTCTACGTCCACTACCTTAGCTATCCACACTAAAGATTTTCCAACAAATTCACTAATTTGTTATTTCTTTTTGAGGCCAAAGAGATAACCTTACAACTCCCTCAAGAATATACCCCAATTCTTGAGAACACTCTTTTCTCAAAGAGAAATACAAATTTGCAAACTTACAAGAAAAACCTCACAAGGCAAATATGTTTGCACAATTCTAGAACAAAGAAAGAACACTGAAGAATAAATACAATTGAGCACAATAAGTGTTCTTGAAAGCAAAATGAATATTGAATGAAAAATAGGCTTGAAATACTCAAACTTGAGGTTTGATGCTTTCTCTTTGATTCTCTCTTAATTCTAGTCGCTTGATGTTTCTTGTTATTAATCAATGGCTTCTAAGCTTGCTTAAATACATCTTGAATCACTTCTGAACGTTGGGGATGATTAAAGAAGATATTATAGCCGTTTTAGTGTGAAAACAATTAATAAAACAGCTTGGAGCGTGGGGGAATCGGTACCCCCTATGGGGAATCGGTTCCCTAAGTGTAAAATTCAAATATTTCGACCGTTATACAAGGGGGGAATCGGTACCCCCTGGGGGGGAATCGGTTCCCTCCTAGCATACTGGAATTCTCGGAGCCAAACCATTCAGGGGGGAATCGATTCCCTCTGAGCAATCTGGAATTTTTAGCTTTGAAATGGTTCGAAATACTTTGTAAAATTATTTTGAAATTGTTTTAAGATTAAAACTTAATTTTACACTTGATTATTATGGATTAAAAATGATTTTTGAAAGATTTGGAGTAATGTTTTGATATTCGAATAGTTATATCGAATATACTTAGAAAATCATTTGGAAAATCTTAAAATTCATTTAACTTAATTTGTTATATCGAAATATCAAAATGTTTTCAACAATCTCCCCCTTTTTGATATAACAAAACATTTTAGTAATTTTAAGATTTTGAAATCAAGTTTTGAAATTACTCCCCTTACTTTAACACTTCTCCCATTTATCATTTAAAAACACATTTAACACTTCTCCCCCTTTTTGTTAAATCAAAAAGACATTTTAAAGAATTTAAACAAGTTTTTGAAATTATTTAGCCAATTGATTATATATAGTTTAAGCTGCTAAGATCACAAGCAAGAGAAACGTTAGCCATTAGTTCATAATCAATATTCATAATTAATGTGACATGGCAAAATTTGTCATATTGCTAAAATTATGTAAATGATGCAATAATGAATAAATCACACCAAATATATAAGTTCACATCATCCATAAATCCAAACAAATTCAAAATCAATCAATCCACAAATTAAAACATCCAAACAAATCCAAAGTCACAAAATCAAACAATCCAAAAAGTTGAAGCAATAATCGTTTAGTTCAAGGTTTTAAAGCTAAGCACAGAATCACATATCCGGATCAGGAGGAGGAAAACGAGCTCACATAGCGGTCATTTCGTGAGTGAGTTCATTAATACGCGCGTTGGTTGCTTCGTTGTTTGCACGCATCTCTCGAAGAATTTCTAATTGTTGAGCTCCCATTGTGGATAAATGAGACTCTATAGAAGTAAAGCGCGAATCCATGGTATCATATCGGAAATAGAATGTCTCCATAAAGGATTGAAAATATGGAGGCATTTGATGCGTTTGTTGTGCTTGCTCCTCGGGCTGCTCAGGTTCATATTTGTCTTCATCGATATCTCGCATTAATTGCTCAAGCTCAAGATCGTCATCAGCTTCTGGTAGAGCTCGTGAAGAACTAGCTCCCGGAGTATTTGCATAAG